ATAGTAAAGTATCTGAGGGTGGGGTGAATGATGGAGTGGGGTTTCCCGATGTGGGATATAAAACAGTAGCCATAGCACCACGACGAGATGGACGACCTGAGAACAGTGAAAGAAACCACATTTGAATGATGCAGATCACAGGGAAAAACAATAAGAGAACATTCAAATGCTGACTGAGTAGTACAGTCAACTGCTGGGAATAAAAAAACATCACGTACAATAAAGAACTCACAGCATAGAGTTATGGTGGTGATTAAACATTAGCCTGTAAGTCCCACAATTGACGATTGCTTTGATGATAAGTGAATTACAGAAATCGGTCAACTCTTGCATAATAATCTCAAATACCAGGTCTCAGAAAAGGACGGTTATTTGAGGCAAAGAAAGACACCAAAGTATCGACCTTGGTCACATTTCGTAATAAGTAAGCATACAGCTCAGGAATAACACTTAATGGAAGATGGAACGTACCTCTCGTGCTGGTTGAACCAGTGCTACGCTATCGATTATTGTACCATAGGCAATTTGAAATTTTCTGATCGTTACCTAGGTTCCGAGATTCTTTAAACACTCAAGTGAGACACTAGTTTTCTAAATTTTAGACCTCTTGTCCATAAGCTGTGAGACGGGAGGATTCATGTGTTTGCGAACCAATGTATCCCTCAACCCAAGCCAATGCTGACCACAGCGACCCGAGCAGAATGTTCAAGACAGGATGACATTAGAAAGTGGAATTCGGCTGGCGCATTCAAGTATGCGATATCACCGTTAAGCCAAAAAGCATACACATACCCACCGGTCATATTATAAGCTTTTATACAAAGCCAGCTCCTCCGGCACCTCCCGGTTTCCTGTATCCATGCCCGCCGCTGGAGAGGTCACTCCAGCAAATAAACACGGAGGGGCGTGACAGGTCTCTAGAAGCTCTCACACGGGTGTTTCGTTCATGCTCCCGCGTTGGATTCACGACCCATTGCCTTGTGGGTCAGACTTTTGAGTCGAAGGCTCCGGTTAGGGTTCCAGAAGAAAAACCCCATCGTCTACGTGGGCCATCGCGAAGTATGTCGTGCCCTAAAGTCTTAGATACCCATTTGGAAAACCATCTTTCCCATCTGTCTAGTTCTTCTCAATCCCAAATAATTCCAGATGCCTCCTGTTTACGCCACCCATCGATTATCAATCAGCGTTTTACCAGCAAGGCCAGACAATCAGAAGTTATGGAATATTTTAAAGGCAAAATCCGCTTTTCACTGAGCTGCATACTATCAGATCGGTCAACAAGCTGCATTAGCTAGAATCCTTGAAACTTTCAATAAGTTGTATGCTGAATCTCTGAAACACACATACGATACCCTACTTCCATTATTTCTCTGTGTTCTCCTGATCCAACCTCAACCTCACGCTTCTCCCTTCGTGTGTCAGGCGATTCGGCATCCGAAGCTCGCTGTGTTGCTGGTGTTGGGATTACGCTAACTGCCAAGGCGGAGCGCTCGCTCCTTGACGGGATTCTAGTCAAGAGCCGACTGTGCGCTGTAGGTCTGAACGGTTCAGCACGGGTCAACCGATACAGAACGAAGCGTCGATATCTATTCGTTGTATCGATGTATGCACTGACCGATTGCAATACACCTGAAATCAAGGATGAATTCTACAAGGATCTTTTTCAATTACTCCAAAGTGCTCGATCAACGGACGTCGTAGTAGTCGCCGGATAATTCAATGCTCAAGTGGGATCCCTGGACGAATCAGAAAGGCTTTTTGGCGGACCGCACGCAATCCCAGCAAAACGGACGAACAACGGAGATCGCCTACTTTAACTCTGCGCGGACCACGGACTGTTCTTGTCAAACACGAACTTCTCATACAAGAAACGTCACCGTCTTACATGGAAACCGCCAACCTCTTCACAACGCAGGACCCAGATCGACCACATCGCCATCTGTTACCGCTGGAGGGGATCAATTCAAGACTGCCGCTCTAACTGGTCAACAGCTGTGGATACAGACCACGCCTTGCTACGAGCCGAATTCTCCCTACGCCTGGCAAACAACCGCAGAAAAGCCACCGACAAAGGATACCCATGATACGGCGTCCGCGATGGCTGCAAATCGGCCTTCGAAGCAGAGCTTTCTGATCACCTGTCAGTTCAACCACCAGTCGAAGGACACAATGAACACTGGAAGCAAATCCAGGAGGCTATGCAAATAGCATTAAAAATAACGTCGGACCCTGACGCAGGTTCAAAACACAAACGATGGACCTCGTCGACCTCGGCTGTCCTGCTGGACGCCCGCAGAACCCTGCCTCCGGATACCACATATGACAGCGCGCAAATCCCTTAAACGCCAGCTCATCAAGAATCTGAGGAATGACCGCGAAAAGTGGTAGGTAGAAAAGTGTAAAGAGATGGAGAAAGCTGCGGCTATTGGTAATAGTCGCAACCTTTTCCATCTAATTAGGATTACGGACCCTAAGAAAGTAGGCGTGAGGTAATCAAGGAATGGCACACTGATTCACCATCAGCAACGCCGTCTTGATCGATGGGCTCAGTTAAAGTGGCTCCATCAACATCTGACCTTTCACCTTCCACCTTGACTGGGCAAATACTGCCAGCTGATGTTGGTCCTCCATCTGAATTGGAGGTTAACCGATAAATAAACGATATCAAAAGGCATAAGGCTTTTGGCCCCGACGGCCTATCTCCATCGGTTCTTAAGGATAGAAGTTCAGCCCTGGTTAGAGAGTTAACAAAACTCCTGGGTTTAGTGTGGGAGAGGGAAACGGTTCCAGCTGAATGGTGTGAATCGGTAATCATACCGATTTACAAGAAAGGCGACAGATCCCCCTGTGAAAACCGCGGAGGAATTAATTTATTCAATATTGCCTCTAAACTTCTCGCCGGCATCATACTCCGACGATTGTCTGCCGCATGGGAACGACGTGTGTGAGAACCACGCTGGTTTTAGACCTGATCGCGGTTGCATCGACATTCCTTTCGTAGACCCACCATCTGTGTTTTTCTCGAGTTGAAAGCGGCTTTCGATTCATTTGACCGCTCTAAACTCTGGCACAGCCGTTCGCCGAAGGATATACCCGAGAAGTTTATTTCAATATTACGATCCCTTTATACTAATAGCCGAAGTCGAGTCAGGGCTTGTGGCACTTTTTCGCACAAGTGGTTTTCGTCAGGGTCCCCTCTCTCCTTTTCTATTCAACTTTGTTGTAGATTACGGAAACAGCTCTATCCTCGTGCGAGGAAAGTGGCATCGATTTCCTCCCAGGTGGCAGACTGTCTGAGCTAGAGTATGTAGACGACATTGTGCTACCAAGTGAAGATGTAAGTAAGTTGCAAGTGTTTTTGGACAGCTTGAATGCCATTGTAGCCATGTTCGGTATGCGTCTTGCACCTTCAAAGTGTACAATGTTAATACAAGACTGGGTCGGTCCAGCACCGAGCCTCACTCTAACTGGAGAAGTAATAAAGCAAGTGGATAAGTTTTGCTATTTAAGCAGCTATATCTCACCCGGACCCATCGCGGATGAAGTGTCAGCTCACATACAGAAGGTTCGGTTGGCATTTGCCAACTTGAGACATCTGTGGCGCCATCGCGACATCCGGTTGTCTGGGAAGGGTCGAGTGTATGCCCGCGGCAGTGCGGCCAGTTTTGCTATACGGGCGCAGAAACTTGACCATTAAGAAAGCAGGACGAAAATAGACTTTCGGTGTTCGAACACCGCTGTCTACGTAGCATTGCACGAGTTTGGTGGGGCAACCGGATGAGCAATGCTGAAGTTAGACGTAGAGTTTTAGGCAGTCGCGGTCGTCCACTGGAGCAAGTGGTTGACCTCCATAGATTACGTTGGTTGGAGCATGTGTTACACGTCATCAGATATAGGTTGCCACGACGAGCGATGTTCGCCGAGCAGGTAGTGGGTAGAAGAAAGTCAAGAGTGATCAAGCTAAAACCTGGCATCAGGGTATGAAAACTCCTTAACAGGAATCTGGGTCACGTAAGTCCCGTTAGGCTTCGTGGATGGGGACATGGAGATGATCATAACCGACGGTTAGAGACACTGAGTGATATGGCTGAGTGTCGTAAACACTGGCGTTCGTGCATCTTCTCAATTTCTCTGCAACATTAGTCCACTGAATTTCTAAACCTTAATCTTATTTTCCACCTTTCCTGTCTTTCTCTTGATGTTCATCCAAATGGGCGGTTAAAAGACAGCAACCAAAACCGGCGCACGAAAGTGCATGGTTAATGGATGTTCATACTGAAACTACGAGGGGATAATTCCATGCAGAAGTCCGCTACCGCCCACATCTGGTAAACGATTCGAAGAAACCCAACAACCAAAACAAGTGACCAACGCCTTTAAACTTCAGTCTTTTGTCGACTTACACAGTTGAGATAAAGTACCTTCTTATAATAGAGGAGTTGACTTACTGGAAACAAATTACTATGTGACGAGAGAAGAGAGATATTAGATTATAAACGGACCAAAGCCGGTATAAACTAGCATTTATCCACGAAACCCGAACACCGCGAATATAGTAACTCTTCGGGGAAAAACTCAAGCGCCTACAAATAAAACGCTGCCGGAAAAAAGGATGTAGGTAAAAATAGGTTCAGGACAGTAGTATTTTGCACTAAGATAAACCACAAATCAGCAATTAACAAAAACCGATGCCCCAAACTACGTCCACAGCTGTTTGGATTTATGCGGAGGGGCCAAAGACCACAAAGCTGATTACATCGTGCTACAATAAAATACTCTTTCCCCTAAAGTAATACTTCTTCCCGGATCGATAGTACTGTTCAAAGAACACATATGACAATTTCTATCTTTTTTCTCATATGCTTCCTTTAATATTCCGTTGGATCGTTTGTCGAGATAGCACTGCTCCTGGAGATAAACTCATGAAATATTCACCACATTGATTGCGACTGAGTCATTTCCTCCAAGGTTGCTAACCAACAACGTACATTTCAACTGAGGTCTTAACTGATAGCCAACGGTGCCATCCGCTTCTCAACACACACCCTCCCAAACCCACAAACACAAACATATCACGATCTGTTTGTTTGTGCGAGCTATGCCTGAAATCGCAAGCAGCGGCAGGCAGACATGCGTATGTGTACGTATGTGATCTTCTGAGGCGGAGTAGTGTATTTATTTTACGATAGAAGAGCGGATATCTTAGACGAATACGTGGTTAGACTTCGCCATTGGTCGCGTGACGTTGCCGTTACTCGCGGGCGAAATTGGGACACCAATAACCGATTACTGAAAGCTGTCAAGCATACTTAAAATGGAAAGATAGGTCTTGTCCCTGTAGACAAAAACACTGCTGATACTGCGTACCCATCTTTCTGGAAGAAAAGGCATATACAGTGCTCTCGTGGATACCTCAACTTGGTGAACACCGGTTTCATTTTTGGTATGTGAGATGCTGCATCGTCATATCAGACAGTTGTTTATTCACTACTGAGGAACATGAAGTCATCAAATCAAAGTGATCACCAGCAATGGTGAAGGAAGGAAAAGATACCAGCCAGCTTTATATAAACAACTTGCACTTGCGTGGAGCGCAGTACATAAACTGCCGAGGTACCGTAATTATCAAATCATTCAAGGCGCTCGCATATGATTCAGAATTGTGTGCTGATCAAATCACGGTACAATGATATCTATAACAAAAAGATACAGCCCAGAATGGAAGTCAGTGGCGCTAATGCTGTACGGTCTGCCTGTCGAAATCCCATGCCCCGTAAAAACAAACACAAAACATCTCAAAAGGCGTACGGTGTTA